GTAGGTCAAAGTAATGATTGGGTCTACCATTCGGAATGAAGTCCTTTGCTTGCACTTTGGTTGTAAGTAAGTCCAGCATCTGTACGCATTCACTAGAGTTCAGTTCAAAGGAATCAACAAGTGCCACGAACTCGACGAGTTGCTGTTGATGCTCCAGTTGAGCCACTGATGTATCCAAAGCAATATCCAAGGTCTTGATCAAGTGAATTCGGTAGTTGGCAGCATGACTTTCGAATCTGGGCAATGTACGACAATGGTCCGTCAATTTCCTAAGGAAAATAACATAGTTCAAGCGAGATTCGCTCGTCTCACTTAGCATTTCAGTGGGGTGCAATGCCCACAATCGAATGTTGAATATGTAGTGCAGCAGACTCTGAGTGTGCGTTTCGTCCTGCTGCTGGTCTTCCTCCTCCAGAACCTTTTCCTTGCCATCGTCAACCTGATTGGCAATTTGTAGGAACTTGATCAGATAATCTGCAGTGAGTTCGGCTTGAAGTTTAGTCAACCGCTGAGTGGTGAAAAGATGGCTGAAAACGAAGAGCAGATCCTGAACGTAGATGATGTTGCGACGGGGATTGCTGAGGCTGAAGTGCAACAACATACTCTGACCCTCTCCCAGCTGCAGCTCGAAGTTCTCGTCGGTCACCTCAACTTTAAATAGCTGTTCGAAAGGCAGGGAGTCCCCGTCGGTGATAACCTTCCGCATCTGCTTCAGCAGTGGCCACTTGTCGGCTAAGATGGTTGGTAGTTTTTTCGGTTTTTCCTTTCCGGTGTCAGGCAGCCAGCTCTTCATATAATCACTGTGCTTCTCTAGGTGATTCTCGTAAAGTTGCAGCACTTGCTCAGGCTTGCTGTGATAGTGAAAAAGCAAAATAAATACTACCTCCACATAGGCGTCGTAAGGTTCCTCCAAATCCACACCCTTCAGCAGAAGTGGCATCGTATTACTCAGGGTTAGAGTTTCCACATAGGCCTGTACCGTTTGACCTTGCTCGATTTGAGCAAAGAGTTTGCTTAGGTTCTTGGTGTTCACGGCCGTGTCCGCAATACTTAGTTTCGGAAGCTCTATGTTCCTCCACTCCAAGCTTAGTACCGTCAGAAGGATTTCCACCACATTGGTCACAGTTTCCGCATCGAATCCGATGAGGGCCTCAATCCAAATGTTGATCTCATGGCTGCAGGAATCAAACAATCCTGTGTTGTGGAAGAGGCGGTTTAAAATGTTTCCAGCCTCTGACTTGATGGACACATCCTTCAGCATGTAGGCTTTTATGAACGATTGAAATACCTTGCCAAAAAGTTTTTCCTGAGGGTTTAAAGACCGCGGAAAGAGCAGAAGGATGGTTTTAATCGACTTCAACTCTAGTTGAATCTTGAAAAGTTCTTCCGGTCGATTCAGTTCATCAAAATCGGTCTGATAAAGAGGTCGCAATATTTCCAAATAATTCAGAATTTGACTTGTCTTGTTCACAAAAGCTCGATTCTCCTTGCACATGAGCAACACCAGATCCAAAGTTACCGATAAGCACTCCAGCACGTTCACTCCTTCTGCTTTCTGCTGTTTTATGGACATATACAGAGAGTATAGAATGGACTCGATCGTGGGAAAGTGGACCAGTAGGTGGTTTAGTAAATCGAATTTGAATTTACGCAATGAATTGCCGGCCTTTTTCGACTGCTCCCGGACTGCAATGGCGTTCACATAGTTGCTGTACTGTTTCATCATGGAAAGAAGCAGGCGCTGGACAGCCATTCGCACACGAAAGTCAGAATCGTTGAGGTACCTCTTACCGGTGATGTGTAACAAAGCTTCGATAGGAAGACACAGCTCCTTGATCCAAAATCCGAAATCGGTTAAAGTCATCTTATCAAAAGCTGTTGACAGAGCACTCGGAGGAACTGCATCAATGACTTGTGACAGGAAAATCGAAGCCTTGGGCATATCCTCCATCCTGGTCCTGGCCGGACTAAGCATGCTTGAGAAACTCCTTACGGTGTTGCGACCTAAATCCGGACAAGCAGTCAGTGTTTGAATGACCAAATCGGTTTTGCGGGGATTATCGTAGGGCTTGTATAGAGATCCGAGGACCCTGCCCTGCAGTTTGTTCTGTTTCTGGCGATAGTGGGTCATGGCATCGAAGCAGACTCCGTGCTTGCGAGAGGTCAAGAGGACCAATAGCAGTTCGTGAACTGCAGCCGAAACGGCTTCAGTTTCCTTTGGGTTCGGGGGCTGCTTCACCTGCTTTTTACTTTTATCAAACAGCAGGGACAGGCCGTTGGGTCCCTCCCAGTCGTAGAGGCGACGCAGGCTTTTGCAGCACTCCAAGTCGAACACGAGCACCTTCTTGGTCTTTTGTATCTCGGGGTTCTCCAGCACATATTGCCTTAGAGCGTTTATAACCACGCAGACGGTTACATGGTCATCGTAGACCAATCCTTTAGCCAGCACGCCGATCAGTTGGCCCCGGTCCAGGATGTTCCGGATAAGCAGCGTATTGCTATCGACAAGGAAGGCCAGAATAAAGTGTATGTACGCTTTGCGCACTGTGTCCTCGTTTTGGTAATCGTTCTTGGCATGTGACAGCATTTGCTGCATCACAGTTACGTTGGAGAGCACGTCGTAGGAGTTAAGAACCTGGCGTCCCAATTGAGGCTCCACGCACACGATGGCCGTGAGCAGTTTGAGGGCGTTGCGCCGGTGACTTGGCCGAGAGGATTGCAGCAGATTCTCGAGCACTCCGCCGTGAACCTTGAGGAAATAGCGACAGCCATGAACCGCCGATTCCATGTGGTTCTTCTGGTTGGTGAGTATTTCCATCACAACCCGCTGCAGTGCCTCTGTTAGGTAGTCCACGTGCAAAAGGTTGCTCTTGTCGATTCTTTCAAAGGCCTCGGCCAGTTCCAAGGGTTTGCCGCGCTTTTCTATGTATTTGGCCGGCAGTTTTGGTCGGGTGGTGGCGCACATATGCAGGAAATGTCGCAGCTCTGAAATTTATAATCAAGGGATTAAGAGATTTTTGATTTTTGAATGCCTCTACCCACCTGTTATAAAATTATTACTGCGCAGCTTGGTGCGAAAATGCATCATCTTAAAGTCGTTGGGAAAGCGAATGCTAGTCTCTTCCGGCTCAATGCCAGAGTCTGGACTAATTTCATCCTCATCCTGCTGTACATCCTTCCGTTTCTTGTGCTTTTTGGAGGGAGATTCGGTCTGCTCCACTTCCACCTGTTGCTCCTCATTTTCTTGGGTGGTTTTTGGCTTTTTTACCTTTTTCTTTAAGGAAGTGGTGTATGCAGACTCGGTTCCATTTGTTTCCGGCGTGGTTTCATCTAGTAATCCCTCAGGTTTATTCTTTTTTTTCGATTTCTTTGGAGTGTCGGACTCCTTGGCCAGTTTTTTGGGTATCTCCACTTCGCCTTCATCCTGCTGGTCCCCATCCGCCTCCTGGTGCTTCCTCTTCCGCCGGTTGGGTTGAATGGCCATTCTGATTTTATACTTTATATTATATTTCCCTATTTACCGTAGAAAATCGTAAAAAATATCAGTTAAACCACAAAAACAACCGCACACACGTGCTGGCGGAGAATGGTAAGGCCGTTTTGAACATATTGAAAAATACCATTATTCGGCAGTGTTGGAAAATGCCACATTTGGCGCGCAGTTAAATTGTTGACTAGCACAAAAACAGATACTTATCCAATTTAATTAAAGACTTTATTTAATTTAGCAATAAGCTTAACTGTCAAGCAATAAAGAATGTATATTTACTAAAAGTAATAACTACAGGACATGCGTATTTGGAAAAACCACCAGCCATGCGATCGTGACTCATGATCCAATCTGCCATTTGGCAATTTACACTTTTCCCCTCGACGTAATCGTTTCTCGGTGGATTTAAAACGGGTCTAGTCATCCTCTAGGGCCACATTGATAGCGCCTCCTGGTCCAGATCCTCCAGGAGCTGTGGTGGTCACCGATCCGGCGACGGGGAATTCCGGCAAAGTGGAGCGCTGTTTTCCCGGAGCAGGAGGAACGGGAGGAAGGTCTACCGATTTGCCTGTGCCTGTAAACACACCGCTTATTAGTCGCTTTTGTTTATGCAGATATCTGTAAATCACTTACTAAAACAACAACCCATTATGATATGTTCTGGACTGATTCTCCTCGCGAGTGGGCCAATTTGCTGAAAGTTCTTTGAGCACTAAATCAGGCAAATCAATTTGGTGGCCAATTGACGAGGAATGCGTGTGTGTGTGCACCTGTGGCGTGCAAACGACTCATGGCTTATTGATAAGCAGCGCCGTTACTTTTATTCTCTTTTTGTTTAAAATGTAAAGTGGGTTATTTATGACACCATGGGCAGGTCTGCTATCAAGCTGTAGTTCCCAACGGGCTGCATGAACCAGGTGGAAGAGAGGCCAGAACTATGAGCAAAGCGCACACTGTCAGTCGGATATTACCGGAACGCGGAGACCAACAAACCAATTAAGATAAGCGCTTATCAGGGCAAACCGTTTTCAATGCTTTGTCGTTTGGCGCTTAAAGTTCAATTATCAAGGGTCGTTTATCGAAGTATCGATTAAAACGCTCCGCTCTAGAGCGCCCAGTTTTGAAAACCGTTTCAAAGTATCCATAAACGGATAAATATCATATATTCTTTTCTATTTTGTAAGCAAAATGAGTCAAGATTTTAATTAATACTAACGTTTAAAATAATATACAATATGTACTGAAAATATTGTAAATTACACATTATTAGGGGTAGGTAAGGCTTAGGTTAGTTACTTAAAATATTTTTTACATTTAGAACAACAGAATTTAGCGATAATCTAATTTAATTAGGTTCTTTATATTTTATTACTGTTTATAAATGATAAAACAGGATTTAAGAAAGCAAATATTTTTATTTACTTTCGTTTACCGACTAGAGTGACCATTCGTGGTTTCCCCCAAAAATCCACATTTTCACAGCTCCTATGGGTTGGCAAGGGGGCGCGGGGCGGTGCGTTCATTATCAGCCGGAACGTAAACAGCGTCGCTGCTTTTCACGCTTTCCGATAAAAATGTTTAAATCACACTGTGTTAATTAGAGCCCAAATCAAAATCAATGCGCCTGTGGACGCGAACGACTCGAGATCGTGTGCGCGTGAATGCGGATTGAGTAGCGACTTTAACGGAAAGCAAAATAAAAACAAGAGAGCGACGAGTAGCAGAGTGCGTGAGAAGGCGTGATTTGTGATTTTTGGCCCGTGAACGAATCACGAGCAAAGCGGATAAACAAAAGCCATAAAAAACAGATTCGCACGAGAATCGAAGAAGTCTGTGCGAGTGAATTACATTCCGGAATTGGAATTGTAATTGGAACTGAGTTTGGAAAAGACAAGTCCCGTCCCCCTGGAAATCGGCGAGCATCCGCCATGGACGACGAGTTCAAGCTGTGCTGGAAGAACTTCCAGGACAACATCGCCAGCGGCTTCCAGAACCTTTACGACCGCGGCGACCTGGTGGACGTGACCCTCGCCTGCGACGGAAAGCTCCTCCATGCCCACAAGATAGTCCTGGCCATCTGCAGCCCCTACTTCCAGGAGATCTTTACCACAAATCCCTGCAAGCATCCCATCAGTGAGTATCTTCCGGTCGTCTCGTGGTCCAATCTATAGACTGCATCGCCGGCAACCTCGGTTCGCCACCTTAAAATGCTAAGTTAAACAGCGGGTCTTACATTGTCTGCACCATACATATGGATATCTCTAGTGGGAAGCTCCAAACTCACCAGCGCTCTAACAGATTTTTTACATAGTCGCCGGCATTTGGTGAATGAATGAATGAATGGCTGAATGAGTAATCTATTGTCTATCGGTCTGCTTATTTCAAGAGTTCTTATATGAATACTTTGTTCAAGCTTTTTGATTATTCTTGATACGATAATTGGTCGGATTAATTCAGGAGGAGGGGTGTTCGTGGTGAAGCCACCTAGGCCTCCACAAATTGTTACATTGTCTTGGCTTTGGCCTTTGGCTTTTACCATACCATACATATGTATAATCCATATAATGACTTCGCCAATAAGTTGTATATTCCTCCACCAATTGGTCAGGTAATGTCAGGGCGAGGTGTCCAGTTGTTACATTGTAATATCGTTTTTTAAACCATTCAGTGGGCCAGTGCTTATTTCCGCACCTCCAGAAATCGGTCAGTTTATCACTGGGACAGTGGTGTCAATTTATCGAGGAGCCCGCCCGTCAGCCTGTCTGTTCGTCACTCTTGTCAAATGCTTAGATATAAATCAGCCTTAGTGTTAAATTCCATGACACATTCGCTGGTTATCAGCCCAGCTCCACCTCCATTTCGATTTCGAGTTCCAGTCGGAGTACCAACTACGGCAGCACGTGAAGGGTCTGCTCCAGGGCGATACAGTATCAATTCCATAAACCCAATGTTTTTAAAGGTTGGATTTAATACCATTTAATCTTAACCACTCTCTTTCATAAGTTGCTTAGGTTTCATTTCAAATTCAATAGCAACCAATTGGAAACAATGGGATCTTAAAAATATGATTGATTGGTCGCTGATCAATATTCAATTAAAGGCTGTTATTATATATTTGATATTATCCATTAGATATGACAGAAAATCCAAAATACTTGTAACTACCAGTTACCTGTATTATGAATATTTTAAAGCTTCCGATCGGAATACAATTGAAATATTCTAAACTATTCTAAATATTCTAAGCTTAAATATTCTAAACTCTAAAATCCAAGGAACAAGGACACGCCCCTAAACATTAAAAAATATTTCAATTAAAAAACTTGATTTAAGTTTAACTTATAAGTATAACCAACCGAACCTTAAGTTCCTGATCGCTAGTATTTCAGTTATTGTAGTTCGACCGTAGAATCATTTGCTGGTCGTAAATCTAAAGACAAACAGCAGCAACCCACAAAGAATCGAGGTCTGGTGATAATCCTAGAGCGAGCCGGGTGCCGCCACGTTGTCTATGCCCATGTGGTAGCCGCAGAGGTCCTCCGCCTCCAGAGCCACACTCGGACTCGGATTGTTTACCCTCGCCACGCACGGGAGTATCCATCGTGATAAGGTCCATGGCGAGAGTGGGAGCCCACTTCGATCGGATCGGGGAGATTGAGTGCGTTGCTGACCTCATCAAATGTACTTCAAATGGACTCTAGAACGATGGTGAACCATATATATATATATATGGTATATGGATATGATATCGCCGGAGCCCCTCCCGGTCGGTCCGATTCCGATTTCGTTCGCAGTCGTGTTGAACACGGCTGCCTGCTGCACGGTGGCTTTATCTGATCAGGCGGCCATAAAAAATAAGGTTTTATCTTTTCAAGTAGCAGCAGAAAGGTGCTACCTACCAACGAGCGCTGCTACAAGAGGTATTTCCAAAGATAAAGAATATTAATATACCCTATAAATAACGGCCAACGCGAGCGGGGGCAAGTTATTAAAAATAGACCAACCAACAAACAAGCCAACCAACAACAGTCATCGAGGTGCTAACAAGCCAAATGGCTTTGCCTCGCCTCGATGTTGCTTTATGTGGTATGAAGTGTGTAGTGTGTAACACGCAGGAACAACAATAGTCTAAATATTTTTATCTTTTTATCGCGTTTAACAATCATTTATTGCCCAACTGAGCGACTGGGTCCGCGTCAACCACTTGAAGACTTTAGTTTCCGAGATATTGATTAGAGAGCTTCGCTTGGTTGATATAGTACGTGTTTCCACTGCCGCGGCCGTGTAAATCAATCCACTCCGTCCGGGCCACTTGGCCCATTATATCTGCCCAACAGCCCCAGCCGCAGTCCCCAATACAATGTTAATCCTCGAAAATTATCTATTTATTATTGGCATAAACAAGACGGACATCGTCTGGGGGCAGCGGTTTATCAGCCCAGCGTTTAGTGCCAACCACTTTACTTTGGGTATCACTCTTGATCGTAAAATAAGATTTTGAACTTATTGCTCGTTAGATAACGCACTCAGACAACCGCAGCATGTGCCATGTGTGATATTGGGCCTCTCCAAGAACCAGGTCCACATCCCCCTCGCCACCTGGCCTTTCCCATACCCATTCCCACTCCCGATTTGAAGTAGCCACGGCGATCGAATATAGCCGCAGTTGCTTACCAGCCATAAACGTTTGGGTTCGGAAAGATAATATAATATCGATCGCTGGACTTGTCGTAAATACTAAATACCCAGTGTTAATAATATATTGCCGAACCGTGACTAAAGCAAAGACGTTGGGTTTTTTTTTGGTTGTGCTTCAGAGGGGGTAAACATTTTTTTATGAAGGGGTTCACTATTTTTCACCAAGTTATTTCATTTTTGACAACGCTGAACTTTGAGTTTTCGTGCGTTGGAAAAACGTAATCTATAATTCGTTTATTTTGAAGCTATAAGCCTGCCAAGATTATCAAAAGTGCTTTAATAGCCAAAAAACTAGGAAAGATCTGAGTGGATTGTGTCATAAATGGACTTTCTGGATTGAAATCTGAGATTAATTTGTTGAATTCGTAACAAGTATCTATTTAATGTACTAAAATTAGAAGTTGGAATATCTGGGATACATATAATAATTCCAAAAATATCGAAGGAAAATAGGATTTCTTTAGCACATCGATGTATGATATCACATTTTATGTTAATTAGAATTTCCCACTCAAAAAATTGATTTATATTTTGTTCCTAAGTAATGTAATTATTATTTTTGAGAAGTTTGATGTTAGCTTAAATTCAAAACCCTCAAAAGAACTCAATAGTAGTACACCGTTAACTTTTGTATCTGAAAAATATGAGAAATGCAATATCCCTTATTTTATTTATAATAAAAATAAATACCTTAAATATCTAAACACCATTTGAGGTGCTAGCGTATTAGTATTATCGGATTTATTAAACCGTACGACAGTTTCCGCTTCTGGGTTACCCAATCGATCACATTAATAGCTGTTTACGTATAGCAGAACTTTATGGTCTCTTCATATTATATCAAACTTTGACTTTGAGCATATGAAATTTCATAAACGCTTTTATTGGCCTTTTGTGTTGACAATTCGTAATTTATGGGTCTGCTAGAAGCCAGAACCCAGTAGCCAGTAGTAGAAGTCGCAAATCGACTTGGCATTCGGCTAAGCTGGCCTAATCCCTGTCCAGCTGGGCTCCTTAGACATTGGCAATGGATGGAATCGGAATCGCAATGGGAATCTATGACCACCCTTTTTGACGTTGGGTTGGCTGGGCCTGTCGCTGGGCTTCTTGGTTTTTTATCAGGTTGTACTACCACCAGCACGACAATTCGATTCGACTACTCGACTATTATGGCGTTTGGAGATAACAAATATTTATGAATGTTTGTGCGACGACATTGTCAAAATGAGGCAGCCCACTCCAATACACGCCCGTCGGCTCTACGGTTCGACGAGCAGAACAACAACAGAACCTATTGGCGTTCTGATTCGATAAACATTTATCATAATCATAAAATAAAACTGTTTTCGAAATCGATCGCCTGCGATCCGATTGGTGGAAGCGTTCTAAGTGGGCGTGATCTTGGTAGTGAGGGTGTTGGGCCCGAAACAAATCAAAAACGAGCTAAGGAAGATATCGCTGCAGTTCCCCAACCCAGCCAGCCCCCAATCTGAGTCCGAATACCATCGATCTACTTTCGGGCCGCTCTGATATCAGCAGAGATCACCGCGGGTCAGGCGCCCATTAAATCCCCTTGGTCACCATATAGGGCATACATTTAAGCAAACAACGCTCGAGACGGGATGATCTGAGTTTTGGGTACTGTCGATTTCCTTATCAGCAGCATGCACGGATTTATCACGTTCTCCGTGAACTTTAGACAGAGTTTATCTACAGGCGGGGTCCATAAATGGTTTATTGATTCGAGGGAATTCTGTGTATGGATCTCTTTGTCTTGATCCACGGCCAGTCTTTATCTCCGGCGATGCTCGCGATGTACATATCTGTGCTTCTGAGCACGGAAAAGTAAGGCAAACGATAGTGATAGTGGGATGATCTAGCAGCAAAGTATTGACTGCTCCCTATATGTAATCCCGTATCTATCTGGCATCAGCAGGCGATGTGTGTACTGTACCCTGTACTGGAGCAATATATTGCCCGGATTTTGATCTTCGCCATGCGATCACTCGGTCGAATACGGACATGCCAAGGCGCAGATAGATAGATAGGCGAGACAAAATGATCCGTAATGACGACTACGGCAAATGATAGGGCACATCGATGTCGTCGCACGGCCAGATTAAGCAACCGAGTTTGTCTGTTGCTGATCGGCGATTTAATATTGTATTTACATACAGCCGTACATAGTCAATGTATGTACGCCTGTTTGTGTAATAAAATTGTTATTGAGAACAAGTGATAATATTGTTTTTAACTAGATGTTGATGCTGCGAGGGACGGGCACAGTGGGCAGGGGGCGATGGGAAAGTGCTGATAAGGATCAATTTCAGATCAGCAAATTTCAAATAATCTCTGGGAAAAAAGTTCCAACTCGGAACCCCCGAATGCGATTTAAACACTTAAATTACTTTTTCACATTAGGCAACGATTTAGAAATGAGTGATTTCTCTGTTTCTATTGTTTGTACTTTATTTTGCTGATTTATGTTCTTTAAATTACATTAAAATTGCTTTTAATATTATTAATTTAATCGATGAAGAGGTAATACTTGTCTCTACAATTTCTAAATAAATCTTACAATTTAGGAGGTCCACAGCAAGAACAAATTTCAACATCTTTTTGAAACGCTTAGAAACAAATGAACCAATTTTATTACTTGCTGTGAACTTTTAAATATTAAAACTTATGTGAGATGATCTCGAGCCCAGGGGTAACAGATAACAGATCCGCACCACTGTGGATCGGTTTCGAGTCCGGACTATTTCACAGCTTCTTAGGCCGTTTCGAGAGCACGCGGATGATATGTCATGCTACTTATTTTATAATTATGGCTGAGCTACTGCGTTGCTGTTGTTGAGTTTATATTTAAGTTTTCAGATTTCTTATCATAGCTGTTTTTATGTATTGATTTAGTATTTGAGCGTTTCGATGATAACATCTCCACTACGAATGACCTCCTTTCCTACAGATGTTATTGTCGCTTCGAGTCTTTATGTAAACAAGCAATTACGTTGAATAATTTTCGGGAGAAGGGGAAACCATAAAAATTGTCTGTAATCTCTTTGGAAATATTTAAAATTCCCCTTTTATTTAAAAAGCATTTTAAATATTCCCATTCCCCAAGTTGTTGACATAAACGTTTTAGGTTTTTCCAAAATTTATGGAAATCAAAGAATTCTTTCATTAGTTAAAATTATTATAATAAATCCAAAGTTAATTTACACGTCTCAAAATATTCCCCAAATGGTTGACAAACTCTTCAATAACTTTCTTCAATTTTCTTTATCTTTTCCAGTCATTCTCAAAGATGTGAGCTTTAACATTATGATGGAGCTGCTGGAGTTCATGTACCAAGGCGTGGTGAATGTTAAGCACACTGAGCTGCAGTCTTTCATGAAGATTGGGCAGCTTTTGCAGATCAAGGGTCTGGCCACCAATTCCAACTCCTCCCCTGGATCAAGTGCCTCCGAAAAGTCCTCTAGTCAGCCCCCAGCGGAAGAGTCGAACAACCCCAACAGCACCAACCATCACAACTCCAACTCTAATAGCAATAACAATAGCAAAACAGAAGCAGATCACAATGAATCCAAGGGACAGAGCAATTCAAGGACCACTTCGCCAGGTTCTGCCAGCAGAGCCTCCAACGACGCCAGCCACCTGTATACGTCCAGCAAACGTCCGATGCCGGCGGATTTTGGCAGCGATTCCCTGTCCATCTATTCCGGCAAGCAGCTAAGGCGCTCCCTCAAGCATCATGGGTCCGGGGGAAGCGAAGGCGGCGGTGGCGAGAATGCGGATAGTGGATCTGGATTGGACAGCGCCCTGAATGCAGAAGAGTTCTTCTTGCCTCCCATTCCACACATTACCATGGGAGAACAGCGATACGATCTCGGAGCTCTGAAACGCGAGTCCGATGGCCACCATCATGGTCCATCGTCGAGCGGTGGAGGCGGAAGCTCGAACAGCGTGGGTAGCCTCACCTCCTCGGCCTCCCCGTCTGCATCAATCCGGAATCCCTTTGCCCCGACCTTCCATTTGGACAACTACAACTTCTACAAGAGCAGCAATAACAGTGGGCCCAGTGGCAGTTCCAATAACTCGGTTGGCCCCGGAGGGATCAATAACAATGGACCCGTGGGCCTTGGCTCCGGCACCGAGTACCCCAACGAGCTGTACATGCCCAACGATTACTCAAAGAACTTTGCCAACCACATGGAAATTCCCCAAGGTAGGTGACCTCCAGATTTGTGCCTGTGGCACTCTTTTGATCACTTTTCTGTTGCATGTAGCTTGGCACATATTTTTATTTATTATTTTATTCTTTATAAGATTTGGTTTTTTGTTTTTCATTCATCATTTGGCTTACATAACATCAGCATTCATCCCACGAACCCGCTAGCCCACTAACCAGGAATGGAACCAAATGGAAACCTAACAAAGCGTCGATTGATTGTAGAGGGATATTTGCTGATTTAACTGGGGTAAAAGTATTAAGCAAAAGTACTCGAACTGAAGGTATAGTTAGATAAACAAGAGATAGCTCTGATTGCCCCCGAGATCCATTTGTTCAACCGACTTGGCAGACTGGTAGGCCTCAAGGCACATGGTTTGATACTCATATTTCTGAGGATATTGGAAACTTTTGAAATACCACAGAAAAACAAATAGATATAGAATAAATATATATATCACAACCTCGAAAATCACATTTGCTGAAAATCACATTCTTCTGTTGAAATATCTAAACCTTAAAATCCTAAAATTTGTTAGATCATTTAAAACTATATATTTATTTTAATCCAATTAGAAAGCTTACAAAATAAGTCTATCGAAATGTAATATTTTCTAATAATTTAGAATTGATCAATCGAAAATCATCCTCACAAACAGGTTCATAGGTTATAGGACTATACCATTTTTACCTTCATTTTAGACACACATAGAGTAGTGCTTTTACTGTATACATCAATATACAATTGCTTATGGTTTTGATTTCTTAACGTGGTAAATTGAATCCTTTAAACGCCTAACAAACCGCACAGTAACGAGAACACGCACACTCAATCGCATATTCCAAAAGGAGGAGGATTAAGACTCCTCCCCTACTACCCAATAGCTTGCCCCGCCCTTATCCCCCTGTAAATAACCCCCTTTGAGCGCTCCAGCGTAGAACAGACCACTAATGATCCACCATTGTCCGGAGCAGGCGGCAGCAACATGGTGATGCTGTCCACCACCTCGCTGCTCCACGGCAACTGCGTGTTCAACCGCAACAACACGGTGGCCACGCAGCAGGGCATGAAGACGTACTGGCTATGCAAGTCCTACCGGATCAGCATGTGCCGGGCGCGGTGCATCACCCATCTTGGCAGGATCATCTCCGCCACGGGCGTCCACAACCATACGCCGCACATGCGCGGTGGTCAGGGATCTTCGGCAGCTTCGTCGGCCTCAGTTTCTGGGAATCCTTCAGCCTCTACGCCAATCCCCAGTCAGGCGGGCTACTCTCTGACGGATGGTGGTGGCCACCTGGGCTCGGATCTGCAGCACGGCAACCGAGTGAGCAATATGTTTGCCAATCAAACGCCTCCACCGCCACCGCCGCCTCCGCCACTTCCAGTGACATCAACGCCGCACCACCCGCATCATCATCACCACCTCGGACAACCGCTGCCGAATCTCCTAGTGCAGCATCACCCGGCGCCGCCGCACATGGACCAGCACGGCGGCTCGGCGAACCTCATGCACAATCCTAACCTGATGCACCTGCAGACACAGACGCACCACCAACAGCAACACCACCAGCAGCACTCGCCGCACAATCCACCACCACCACAGCAACACAATCTGGAACTGGGAGGTGGCTCAGGTTCGGGAGCAGTGCTCCTTTCGCCGGCGCACCTGCAGCAGAGTCCGCTGTCCAACCGCAGCAGCCACTCCCTCCAGGCGCAGAGTCCACCTCCACAGCCAGTGGAGGAGCAGCAGACACTCCAGCAGCAGCAGCAACAGGATGGAGCCACCGCGGAGGGGGCCACGGATCCCAGCGCAGCTCACGTGATCAACTCCATTACCATATCCCCCAACAGCAGGCACACCTTCAAAATGGAGAACATGTAAGGCTGTCGCCGGGGATTCCCCCACAGTCGCCACACTGCCCCAAAAGCGGAGGAGGAGAAGGAGGAGTAATTTATTTTTGCCTAGCTAGAGTTTGTAGTAGAAAATTGAATTTGATTCGAAAATGAGAGATAGTAACCAATGTAAATACCCGTACCGATGTGCATAATGTATTTGATAAACTAATGCGAAACGATAAACCAAAAAGTACTAATGGGCGCTGTGAAATGAATCCCAGATTAATCAGAGTAATTTTGGATAAGTTTCGTGGCCCTGTGCGTATATCAATGGGTATTCCGATGGTCAGCCACTAACTAACTAATTAGCAATAGGCATTTGTTTATAAGATAGAATAATTGAATTTTGGGTCTGATGTTATAAGATAATATTTATAGTATCAGATCTGAAGGGTTATTTAATTCCTGTTACCACCTAGCAGGTAAGTAAATTGCATGAATCACATAAACACACATAATTGGGCTCATTCGTGTACGTCCTGGCATCCAAAACCAAACATAACCAACCGAGGGAGCGGAGCGTACCACTCCAAGCATACCCATCAGCAGCCTCAGACCCGAACCGATCCTCACTAGCCTTCTCGTCCTGTCTTGTAGTCGCACCCGGCGAGCACTGGTTCAAGGGCAAGCTGGAGTTCATGCTGAGCCAGCGGGGCAAGCCGCTGCTGGTCCACGACGGACACACCTTCGGCATTCAGTACGTGCGCAAGGACAAGAAGTACTGGCAGTGCAACCTGTCGCGCAAGTTCAACTGCAAGGCGCGCGTGACCACCACGGACACCGGCGACATCATCGTGACTAACAACGAGCACTGCCACACGGAGATACGCCAGCACTTGCGTAAGGACTACCAGCGCAACAAGGTGATGATGAACGCCCTGATCAACCTGAGCACAAACCACCTGCGACGACACAATATGGGCGGTCTTGGTGGCCTACCCATGGTGCCGGAGGTCCTGGTCCAGAATCTGCACGAGATGGCGGTCAAGGCAACGGCAGGGCAGCAACAGCATCATCAGCAACAACAACAGCAGCAGCAGCGGGGGCAGGATATGGAGGAGCCGCTAGACTGCGGACTCCGATCTTCGGCTTCGGCGCTCGAGGAAATGGCGCGCAACTTCATGGCCAACAACAAGCCGACCGTCACCTTCCCGGGCAGTGAAGCCGGCCATAGCCATTCCCACGATACCAAAGAGGAGCCGTCGTGGAAGGAGAAGAGCGAAGGCGATGCTTAGGCTTACATTCAAATAGCAGGTCAATCGACAGTTAAGTACAAAAATGGAATGATTGCAATAATACTCAAATACACTAAAGACGGCGTAACCAAAACAATTCCAAAGAATTTAGTTAATACATAAGCAAGCGTACAATCCACTAGAGCATTTCCATGAGTTTTTTATCGTTTTTATTATTGTACGTTGCGTTAGCTTTACACTGTAATAAATGTTGAATTTGAATAAACCTTTTTTATATGAACTACATTAGATGTTAATCACGCGGCTCAGCTTCTGAATGCGGTTGAGCAGCAGATCGCCCTGCTTGATGGTGGCCTGGTACTGCCAGTTCTTGTTGTCGGGTCGATTGGTCTCCACGATGCCGCCCACGCGGTCTACCTTGGCGTGCAGACGTCCGGCGGCGATGAAGCGAGCCAGCTCCTGGTCAATGTAGTCCACGGTGACGCCGAAGGACTCGGCCATATACTGCAGGGTGAGCGAGCGGTAAGACTCCAGCAACTGGGTGTAGCCCAGGATGCGCATCTCGCGCACGTAGTAGCGGTAGTGGGGATGGATAAGGTAGTCCGAGCGCAGCTGCTTTTCCACGCCTGCCAGATGCACATAGAAGTTCTCGTACTGGCAGTTGTACAGGGCGAAGAGGAACTGCTTGACGTCGGGAAGGCCGTGGAGCACCTCCTGGATCTCGGAGCCCTTGATCACCTTGTCGCGCAGCTCATTGCGGGGCAGGGCGATCATAGCCACGTACACGGTGTATCGCACAAAGGTGGGGTAGTCCATCAGCTCGTAGGAGGTGAAGGTGCTTACGGTGTCAAGGAAGAAGGTGGCCGCCGCCTTGAAGTCGCGCACCGCCACCGAGTAGACGCCCTGGTAGACCTTGAGCCGGTTGCGTCGGTCCCAGTCGCCGCCCTCCTCGATCAGATACTTCGCCTTGTCGATGTTGCGCGTGATGAGATCGTGGTCCAGGTAGAACAGTCCCAAGCGGATTAGGTGGAACACAATGTCCAGGCGGTGGCCGAGCGACACGGTCTTCTCGTAGGTCTTGCGGAAGGCAGTCTCCGCTGCAGCCTTGTCGCCGATGCGGCACAAGTACTCCGACTTCTTTAGGTTCGCCTCGCGCACCTCCATCTCGCCCAGATTCTTCTCCGCATCCTCGATGGCCGCGTCCAGCTGCTCCACCTCCACGCGGTTGTTCTCCTTCATGCGGGCCAACAGATCCTTGTCCACGGCCCAGCCGAGTTCCGTGCAGATGTGCTCGTACCACGGGGCCATGTTCTCCGTGCGAATCGCCTCCAGGAGCTTCGCCTTCAGCGCCGCATCCTGCTTGTACTCCGCCAGCGTGAGCAGGAACTTGGTCTGGGCCAGCTCCAGATTCGGGTTCTTCTCCAGGCCCTGCTCCTCCAGGTTTTCAGCAGGCATTGTGATCGATTTGTTGACTTTGCTTTGTTTAGAACAGAGAAATAGTTAATTTTTTCAACAAATTGATGATTTTGTTATTTTTGAGAGTCATGCACAGTGTGACCAAAGCAAACTGTCGAATAAATATACCCCGGCTTTCATAAATATACCTTTTATACCTTGCTTTCTTGCAGCCTTTCAAAAGCTGATTGTCTTGACACTAACGGTATTTTGGACTACAAATTTTAGCAATCCGGTAAAAATTGAAATTTCATGACTTGTTTTGATTACAAAATTAAGTAATTAGGTATAAATGGAGTCTTAACGCAGCAATTCGGCTCATACCTACTTATATAAAAAACCACGACAACTACATCTTTTTAAATAGGTTAAATTACTATTATTCAAAGTTCCACAGAAACTTTCAGCAGTAGATGGAATGATCCTATACTGTTTATACATAATTTTCCAACCACTGTGCAATTTTCAAACTTAAAATTAAATTATACTCCCTATTTAAGTTATAACCATTAATAAGATGGTCTAAATTCAAAAGCTGTACAATGAGTAAAATAAGAAATCCGAATAAAGGAGCTAAGATAAGAATTTTGTAAATTGGTTATATATTTTCGAAAGGGATATACAAGAACCAGACAAATAAAGGCGAGCATTGATCGCCCCTATAAATATAGCAAATCTAGTGTCATGGTGTTGTAAATGAATGACCATCGCTATTTTGGTATATATTGAACCACGAACGGCCACACTAAAGGGGAGTGAAATTGATTTTCTGATAAAAATTTTCGCTTGAAGCTCCAGCATCGGAATCCATAAATATCTTATATTCCAATATATAAAGATATAATTACCGACTAGGACTAATCATCAGCTAGCGCACAAGATGATTGGCGGCCTGTTCGTCTACAACCACAAGGGCGAGGTGCTCATCTCGCGGGTTTATCGCGACGACATCGGTCGCAATGCCGTGGACGCCTTTCGGGTCAACGTCATCCACGCCCGCCAGCAAGTGCGCTCGCCAGTGACCAACATTGCGCGGACCAGCTTCTTCCACATCAAGGTGGGTGTTCTAGGTCCCCATCCCACTATCCCGCCCACTCATACTCCCATCTCCTCCCACAGCGAGCAAACATTTGGCTGGCGGCTGTGACCAAGCAGAATGTGAACGCCGCCATGGTCTTTGAGTTCCTGCTGAAGATTATCGAGGTGATGCAGTCGTACTTCGGCAAGATCTCCGAGGAGAACATCAAGAACAACTTTGTGCTCATCTACGAGCTGCTGGACGAGATCCTGGACTTTGGCTACCCGCAGAACACGGACTCCGGCACCCTGAAGACCTTCATCACGCAGCAGGGCATCAAGTCGGCCACCAAGGAGGAGCAGATGCAGATCACCTCGCAGGTCACCGGTCAGATCGGCTGGCGTCGCGAGGGCATCAAGTACAGGCGCAACGAGCTCTTCCTCGACGTCCTGGAGTACGTAAACCTGCTGATGAGCCCTCAGGGTCAGGTTTTGTCCGCCCATGTGGCCGGCAAGGTAGTGATGAAGTCGTATCTGTCGGGTGAGTCAAGATAAACGATATATAAAGTATTTAAAATTACCAAACTCCGCTTCACAGGCATGCCCGAGTGCAAGTTCGGCATCAACGACAAGATCGTGATGGAATCCAAGGGACGCGGCCTCTCCGGCAACTCGGAGGCGGAAACCTCCCGATCCGGCAAGCCGGTTGTGGTCATCGATGACTGCCAGTTCCATCAGTGCGTCAAGCTGAGCAAATTCGAGACGGAGCACTCAATCAGCTTCATCCCGCCGGACGGAGAGTTCGAGCTGATGCGCTACCGCACCACCAAAGACATTTCGTTGCCCTTCCGTGTCATTCCGCTGGTGCGCGAGGTGGGTCGCACCAAGATGGAGGTCAAGGTGGTGCTGAAGTCAAACTTTAAGCCCTCGCTGCTGGGCCAGAAGATCGAGGTGAAGATTCCCACGCCACTGAATACCTCGGGAGTGCAGCTCATCTGCCTGAAGGGTAAGGCAAAGTACAAGGCCTCGGAGAACGCAATAGTGTGGAAGATCAAGCGCATGGCGGGCATGAAGGAGACCCAGCTGTCGGCTGAGATCGAGCTGCTGGAGACGGACACCAAGAAGAAGTGGACAAGGCCACCCATCTCTATGAACTTCGAGGTGCCGTTTGCGCCATCCGGATTCAAGGTCCGCTACCTCAAGGTGTTCGAGCCCAAGCTCAACTACTCCGACCACGATGTGGTCAAATGGGTGCGCTACATCGGACGCAGCGGACTCTATGAGACGCGCTGCTAGAGCGGCCAACCATCGCCATTACGGAGCAAGAGTATCACAGTTGAATTTAACAAAATGAATGGAGAAGGTGTTACCGCATCTATTGGTATTTCCTCAATCAAATTGAACCAGCAGTTAATGTATTCCAAGATTAGTTCCAGCAAGTCCGGAGGACGCCCGAACAGCGGATCCTCCCCGGACACCTTATGCCGTATACCGCACACACTGCCTCCGCGAGCACTGGTTATGCGGGCGGGGCGTGTTCCCTATAGACATACCACTAGGTACTATGATTTACCCTACTATGTAATTGTAAACTATGTTGTTTTTATATGCGTCGCGGGACGCCTCTCAAATCTCACGCTCACGTTTTCACAACTCTAATTATTATTTGTATTATCGTATTATAAATATATATATTAATCATTATTTTCATTGTGCAAAGAACAAAGGCGATAAATGCAACTAAGCGTATTTAATAGACCAAAACTCTCTGTCAGCGCTATCAATATGATATTCAAGTGTTAATAATATTCGAATTGTTTAATAAATTAGCACGATATATATACTAAATGAAAAGGGGCTTTCTACTATATTTTGGATCTAAAATCGAACTATATTTCTTCCCATAATATCGAACTGATATATTGCTGGCCTATAGTAAAACAAAAAGTTACAATTTCAACCTCATAAATGTACAATATATGACTTTATGATCCCCCACAAGTGCTGTCTTTGGTATCAGGTGTGCACATTGGTTCAAAGTCTGCTCAATTTTAAAAGTTTCAAGTCGTTATGGGTTTTGAATTGTGCCATCCCCAAAGAAGTAAAAACAAGTTCCAAGCTGTGACTCATCTAGCCAACTATAATGTTGTTAATTTAAGTGATCTTTGCCTTTGTAGTAAAAATGCCTAAATAATGCCAATTCGCATGAAAGCTTCGCTATCGTGTGAGGGCTTTTCACAATTTTCCATTGTCGACAAATCAATGTGGGAATACTGACCACCCAATCTGTCTACCAACCGCGATAAAGTTTATTTCGTTGTGTCTATAAAATTGTTATTTCTAGGTGTTAGCTGTTGCCAGCGACGGATAACCTTGAGAGGTTTCTACATCCAGATATTAATTAATTAGACTGAAATTTTTAATAAAACCGAAAGACATCCGCTGCATAAGTAAGAAGCTTTCGCTTTGTTATCATCCAGCCGGCTCGGTCATCAGTGATAAGACCAAAACAGTACCGTCATTTTCCTCAGCTGACACGTAACATGGATGACATAGTGCCCGATGTTGTGGATGCGGTTCCCGCTGGCATCGTTAAGGTCACCTATAACGATAGCCTTCAGGTGGACCAGGGCAACGAACTTACCCCCACCCAGGTTAAGGATCAACCAACTGTCGAGTGGTCGGGATTGGAGGGAAAGTCCAACCTGATCACCCTGCTAATGGTGGACCCCGATGCTCCCACTCGTCAGGATCCCAAGTACCGTGAGATCTTGCACTGGGCTGTGGTCAACATTCCTGGTAGCAGTATCGATCCTTCTGGGGGCTATACCTTGGCCTCCTACGTGGGCTCCGGTCCGCCAGAGGGAACTGGCCTGCATCGCTACATTTTCCTTGTCTACCGCCAGCAGAATAAGATTGAGGAAACGCCCACTATTTCCAACACGTATGATATAATAGCCAATCCTTATTACTGACAAGTAATTCTAACCAGACCTTTTTAAGTTACAGCACTCGGGCAGGTCGTTTTAACTTCAGCGCCAGGGACTTTGCCGCCAAGCACGGATTGGGGGAACCCATCGCCGCCAATTATTACCAGGCCCAGTTCGATGGCTATGTGTTAATCAGAAATAAAACGTTCACCGACTAGATTTCTGCATATATCACGTCAGTCAATAAAGTCTAACAAATCGCTTATCTATCTATCTATGCGTCGGGGTATTAGGTAAAAAGTGCACGGAACTGATTAGGCGACGGACCCCGTCCGGCGATAAAAGGCCAGCCATCGGGGATCCGGGCCAGAGTCACCTCGCTAACGCCACATCGAGCAGAAGCAGCAGAACTACCAGCTAACATGGACACCGCCGGCATCATTCCCGACATCATCGACGTCAAGCCCACCTCCAAGGCTATCATCACCTACCCTTCCGGCGTTCAGGTCGAGCTGGGCAAGGAGCTGACTCCCACTCAGGTGAAGGACCAGCCCACAGTCGTCTTCGATGCCGACGCCGGCTCCCTGTACACCATCCTGTTGGTGGACCCCGACGCACCCAGCCGCGAGGACCCCAAGTTCCGTGAGCTGCTCCACTGGCTGGTGATCAACATTCCCGGCAACAAGGTGTCCGAGGGCCAGACCGTCGCCGAGTACATCGGAGCTGGTCCCCGCGAGGGAACCGGTCTGCATCGCTACGTCTTCCTGGTGTTCAAGCAGAACGAGAAGATCACCACCGAGAAGTTCGTGTCCAAGACCAGCCGCACTGGCCGCATCAACGTCAAGGCCCGCGACTATATCCAGAAGTACAGCTTCGGCGGTCCCGTTGCCGGAAACTTCTTCCAGGCCCAGTACGATGACTACGTCAAGACCCTCATCGAGACGGTCCAGTAATCTGGCCACCAACTAATCAGCATTCTGTGAAATAATAAATTTTAAATATGTTCTAGTAATCAAACAAAATTAGCGTCATTTTTCGTTGAAGGTTGAACTTCTGGTATAGTATACAACTTCCGTTGAATATAAACAGCTCAAGTCTCTTTCATAAGAATTTTTATTAGATAATGATCCGGAATTAATTTGGCCTTGCCCGAGATTTAAATTTTGCTTCAAAGTGAATTAATGTTTTTGCGAACTTTAGACTGATATCTCTTTGTTCAGCATTTCTTTTGAAATATTTAGTATACTATAGCGATATGGAATATTCCTAAAAATGTAATGACCTTGATTTAAAATGTATTCAAATGTCACTTTCATTTATTTGCCTTCTGCGAAGTTAATAGATATGGCTATTCCTCAATTAATTTGGACATGATTCATTAAATTGATAAACAATTTTGCTTAGCTTAGATATGAATTTGATTCATCAAGACTATCAGTTTCTTCTTTCAAAAAGTTGGACCTTTGGACAGTTAGATAATTTTTTCCACTTACATTCGAAATTTTATAAGTCGATTTATAAAGCACTTATTCCATCGAATATTTCTTATCAATTCCTTTTAAAAAGTGACTTGGCTTTCTTAGATTTCCAGTTACAAAAGTTTGACTCCAGTTGAGTGAGAAATTAAGTCTAAACATTTTGTTAATCTAATCCTTATTGTTGAAGAAATCAGCCACTAGTTTGTTGAACTCCTCCGCATAACGCAGATGGATATTATGCTTGCCCTCGGGGAACTCGTGGTACTTTGCCTGGGGCAACCGCTCCCTTAGCCAGGGAATGTGTTCCGCCGCTATCATGGGATCCTTTTTTCCGTGAAGTATAAAAGTAGGAGCCTTTATTTGCTCAACCTCGGAGCAACAGAAGTCTCCATCTCTTTGGTCATAGAAGGCGCAGGCGGCGTCCACCCATTCGGCCCATAATTGGGGGAATCTCTCCACGCCGTACACCTTCTCCATGGGCTCCCGCATCCGCGGCGACCATTTGGCCACATCCCGGATGTTCTTGAGGGCCTTGACTTCATCGGCGTTGAGGTAGGCACCTGCTCCCCAGATTGCCAGACGATCTACAGCCTCTGCATGGCGACCGGCTACGATGAGGGCAGTGATTCCACCATCGCTCCACCCTAGAATCGAGAAGCGAGGCCTGTCCAGGGCGCGCATCAAGTCCACGGCAGCCTCGGCATCCTCCCGGAAGAACTCCAGACCGAACTTGCGCTGCGGAGGCACAGATTTGCCGTAGCCCGGCGGATCCCAGGCGATGATCGTGTGTTCTGGCAGGAGTTTCGGCAGCTGCTCGATCTGGGGTTTAAAGTCGGTCCAGGCGGAGCCCAGGGCTCCGGGCATCAGGAGCAGACTCCTATCACCACTGCCGCTCTCCACAATGTGCAAATCGGTGCCATTAACGCGTACTTTCCTTTCCGTGTGCACCAATCGCCTGAAGATGGGCGAACGGAAAGCCAAAAGTCGGCCCAGATTGCCCAGCATTACGTAAGCGGGATCGGACAGGGGTTTTGGAGTATGGCAACAAACTTGGCTGCTTCTCAAGGGCTCTTCAGATGCAGTCCAGTAAATGGTTTGCGGCTTGTCCAAATCCTAACACACGACGCCTTGTAAAGTGCACTTAATAAGTGCCGCTGATAACAGCTGACAGATAAGAACAGCTGTAAGTAAACGATCGGATCAGTGTGGCTGTGGCATGCGGTGACGCAATATACCGTTCGCTTTGAAATAAATATACCAAAGAAATAACCGTTACATTTTTCCAAAAACTTGAAGTAATTAACTCAAGTTTTTGAAAACTTAAAAACGGGGTTATCAGAAACAATTGAAGGAAAAGTATAAAAATTATGTAATATAACATTAATCTTGACAAATTGGGTTTTGAAAAACAACTTTGTTATTTTTAATATTGTTTAATTTTGAGCGTTTAAGGTTTTTCCTTAAAATTTTTGAAATAAAAAGTGGAGAGTTTTAAATTCAAGTAGTTGAAAAGCCCCTAAAAGTTCAAGGGAAAATAAACCCGCTTAGTTTGAATTAAAGCTTTTGGCTCCTCCTCCAGCTTTTTGGCATTCCCAGTCCCGTTAGTCCGCTCGAACGTCACGGTTCCGAAGGACAATGGACAGCACGTGCGGGCATTTGTTTAGCCTTTAACGTGCGTTAAAAAATTATTAAAAAATGTAAGTGCCAGCGTGCAGGGTCCGTGTCGCGATCCCTGGTGTAATGGTCAGTGCGTGATTGGTGTGCTCAAGTTAATGTGTTCGCCAGGACGACTAGGATTAATGGAGGCGACGGCCTTGCAATTGTGTCCCTGGAGAGGATGGGTAGTGAGAGAGGGAAGGGACGTACTCCCACTACAGGACTTCACACATTCCATTGCCAATGCAAATGCAAATCGAATTTGACACCGAGTCGTCGAAGTTGCGTAGTAAATGTCAAGGAATTTACACGGGTCGCCTCGGTGATAGAACGAGAATGTGTGGGTGTCAGTGGGGGGGGGAGGGTGACCAAAGGACACGTATGTGTGTATCTGTGTGGCATCTAATACGCTTTAGTGGTGCAGGTTATGAACCTGCGTGCTGTGCGCTCATTACGCATGTGTGAGTGGGCAGCTGGTGCCTATGTGTGCGTTTGTGTGTTAGTAGTACGCATATGCATGCCTCGTGCGAAGTAAGCGAGCTTTTAATTTTTGGCATTCCCACACACTACACTTAAGGACACGGGTCTATTAGTTTCCATAGCATACTTTTTGGGGTAAAACAAAGAGCAGCTCAGCTAAAGTGTTTCCAGTGAGTTTTCTGTACTTCTATGTCTTTCTAACTTATTTCAATTAAATATTAGTGTAGTAAACACTTAAATGAGGTACTCAAAAACTTTTACTCCAGTCGTCTAGGCCGCACCAATGGCTTTTTGTGAATAAGCTGGCGGAGCTTTCGTTATCCATTGGAAACCTAGCGAGGAAATTAAGTTTGAAATTGCAGTTCAGTCTTGTCGTGGATGCAGCGCGGATCGATATCGGAGCCCAGAGCAGCGGAAGGCGCTGCTTAGCAAATTTCGACACACAAAATTTTTGTATCCCTCAAAAATTGAACCAAAAATAGGCAAAAATAAATTCACCCCACTACAACGAAAACGCGTCGTGCTGAAAGCCAAAATCCAAGTAGTTACATAAAGAAAAAACGACGAAGATAACGTTCGATTTCAACGGAATAATTGTGTAATTGAAAAAATCGAAGTGTGTGCAAAAACAATCGTTTCCAATCTATAGCTCAATCGATACGCATAAATAAATGATTAGATTTCTGTGGATTTAAGGTAAAGCGCCCGTTTCTGGGGGCCTTTGCTGTGAGGTGCTTAGAAAATTTTTCGCCTACATTCGCGACATGCAGTGAAAATTTTTTCCGATTTTTAGTATGTACATGTACGTTGGAGCGCTCGTGGGCGCCACAACCTCGGGTGGCAGGGGTATCCGGCAAGCTTTCGGCCCATCCATAGCCGTAACCCCCAGTGTTGGTAGTACAGCCGCCTCGGTCGGAGTAACGGCTATCTGACCCCGCATCGGTGCGAAATATGTGCCCGTTCTTAATTAGTTTGCCAAACATTATGCAAATCAAGTGTACGAAATGCCAAAAACTCAAGGTGCCCAGCATTAAGGACCTAGAAACCAGGCGAAATCATAACCAATAAACGGTGCAGTGCCGTTAACAGTCGACGAGTACCGTTAACAGTCGCAGCCAACTTCGCCTGGCCGAGCTTTCGCTCACCGCGCTCTAACGGTCGCTCTCAGCAGGCGCGGATAAAACGGATAGAATTCCAATTCCCATTCCCGAGTAACACCAACACAAGGACACGCGAAAAGCTCGCGCTCAAGGACTGGAATACGCGAGAAGAAAGAGAGAGGGATAGAGAGAGAGACTCGCTTTACGTTTACGCGCGCAACGTGCGTAGGTGCCTCTGTGTGGGTGACTGCCCCGAGTGCCCGTGTGTGTGAATGAAGGCGCCACAGCAGTCACATAGTGCAACATATCAGGATAACTATGCTCCTGCGGCCATGACAGCCAGGACACGGCCCAACATGGACAGGGATCAGCAGCGAAATCGAAATCCGGCTGAGCTGAGGCTCCTGCCCGCCTCATCCAACTCCACCTCCACCTCCGCCTCCGCCTTCGAATCCCCGGACTTGCGGTTCAACAAGGCTCGCCGTCGGCGGAGAGGCGAGTCAGTGCCTCCGGTGATCGTGGAATACCGCCGCTCGTACCGCGTGCTCATCGTCA